ATAATAATTAATATAAATAAAATATAAATAAAATTATACAATATAAAATATAAATATAAATATAAATAAAATATAAATAAAATAAATAATTTAGAAGATAATATATTAATTAATTTGTCGTTATATAGTTTAAATTGTTTATTTAGTATTATGTTTATTATTAAATTATATTAAATAGAACACATTCAATTGTTTTTATTCTTTATTACCATAAATAAAGAACGTATCGACCTTGATGACGTCGACAACGTGACTATACGGACCTGATCAAGAGGTTCAACCGAGGCCAAACGCCGAGGTGNTCTACTACTCTCTCTCTCTCTCTCTCTCTCTCTCTCTCTCTCTCTCTCTCTCTCTCTCTCTCTCTCTCTCTCTCTATCTCTCTCTCTCTACCTCCCCCATCGCTGAGTCCCTGATTGCAATCTCAATTGTAGGTAATAAATGATGAGAAATTGTTATAGAAGCTTTAGTATAAAATAGTATATAAGTATATTATATATATATAAGTATATATATAATCAGGAGTAAGATAATATAGTATGACACTCCAAAACACGAGAAATTCAACATTTGCTGCCTAATTTTACCGATGATATATTACGTGCAACTCGATAAAAATTACATCTAAATTAGCGTTGGACATCCACCTCACACTCAAACTTTACTTTGTTTCCATACCTCTTCTTTTTATGGAGATATAGCTTTGAACGTCACACATGGTTCATAGCGTTTTACTATGCTGGTGGTTCAGCTTGCCTGAGCTTTCAAACAGTGGCTATCCCTGTAAGAAATGGTCTTTTATGTTGACAAGAATGCCACCTGTTGGCGGCAGGACTAAGATAATATAGGATATTATATAATATAGGATAATATAGTATATGTGTGTATATATATAGTGTGTATATATGTGTGTATATATATAGTGTGTATATATGTGTGTGTATATATATAGTGTGTATATATGTGTGTATATATATGCGTGTATATATATAGGATAATATATATATAGTGTGTATGATATAATATAGGATATAATATAGGATCCTATATTATCTTACTCCTGCCGCCAACAGACAAGACCATTTCTCACAAGGATAGCCACTGTTTGAAAGCTCAGGCAAGCTGAGCCACCAGCATAGTAAAACGCTATGAACCATGTGTGACGTTCAAAGCTATATCTCCATAAAAAGAAGAGGTATGGAAACAAAGTAAAGTTTGAGTGTGAGGTGGATGTCCAACGCTAATTTAGATGTAATTTTTATCGAGTTGCACGTAATATATCATTGGAAAAATTAGGCAAGCAAATGTTGAATTTCTCGTGTTTTGGAGTGTCATACTCCTCCTATATTATCTTACTCCTGATATAATAGCATTTGAAATGTGAACTCGGGCAGGAATACGGGAACTGTAAGGAAAGATGTAATCTATAGAGATTCTGCGATAAGGGATGTATATATATATAGATGGTGATTTTGCGTCTGTCATTTCCAGACACAAAATTATTATTCCCTTACACGCGTACATCCATATCGCACGCCCTGCAGGACAAAGCCATAGTCTAAGATATTGAATACGATAATACCAAAAGTAATCCCACGGCAATAGAAATTCGAATCCTATTGCATCGAAATTAGCATAAACGACAAAAGGGAAATTTGCATGATTAAACATTGTCATTGTGAATGTGAGTCGTCACGAAGAAAATAGCATTTAGTTTTTCACTATAGGATGTTGCGGTGTCGGATATTTTTAGTTTGGGAGAGCGTGGACAGGATTATGTGATTATGTGATTTTGTAAATCACCGGGGCGGCGGAAACCATACAAAATTGATGAGGGGGAAACTCGTGGAATCAAAAACTCAAAACCATCGTGATGCAGAAATTGGATTTGGTTGAAAACGTCATGCGAATGATAACGTCTCTCAATCCATGTAACATCTAGATTGTGAAATAGCGCATTTGGCTCTATAATATCTTTATATATATATATATATATATATATATATATATAGGGGTGCGTGCGCGTGCGTGCGTGTGTGTGTG